TTTCTTTTGCTCGTTGCTTTAATATTTCCACGTGACCAATTTCAACATATTTTACGAGATTCATGTCTTAAAGAAGTTTTTGTTTAAATTTTTATTGAGTGACATTCTGATAAAAATCTGAAAAATAATACTCAACTTGTTTTTAATTTTTTTAATATGAATAACAAAACAGTTTTTTATACTTCATTTTATTTTATTGCTCGTTTAAATTTTCGTGCGTGATCCTCTTTCTTGATTTGAAAATTTGATAAACTTTTCCCCACATAACATTGTATTAATCGTTATTGTTTCCTTTAGGTGTTTTATATATTTCTTATTATTTTTCTATGCTAAATGCATGAAAAAAAAAGAAGTTTCTTTGAAAACTTTATTTAACTTTTATTGCAATTAAATACGACTCAAAATATACAAACGACAATCTAAATGTTTCTGCAGTAATCGAAGTTGCCATAAAATCTGGTTTGGTTTCCAGGAAAAAAAAAATGGTTACGGGTCAAATAACCTATTTTTCTGAGGGCCGGGTGCATCCCGATCAGCTCCCGCTTTAAAGGATGCAAACTAGTATTTATTCTAGTCACAATAAGCTGCAACAATCTGAAGTTTCATATGATATAACAAATAATATAGTTTCATAAATTATAATATAACAAACCCTATGTTTCAAATAACCAATTAAATCAATTAAATAAATGCCTAATATCTACAATGAGTACCCAGCGCTTCAGAGATCTTTTCATACTATTCATTGAATCCAATATTTAATGTCATTGTTTACATTTTAACTTTAATTTAGATATAATTGTTGCAACATTAAGACGGATCCGTGGTAAAAAAAATGCAAAAAAATGATTATTTATTTATTATTGTTTATTAAAAGTGACTCTTGTACATTGTCTACATTAAAAACCTGTTTAAAACAAAGTTGTCATCTTTTTTTAACAGTTGTTCAAAGCAACGCGCATAGCAACCACAACAGATTGATAATTTATTTTTTTAATAAAAATCTAAATAATCAATATTTGTGTTTTTTTAAAAATATCTACTATGTTTTAAAATATTCAGTTTTTATGTGTTTCTATTGTTTTATCTGATTGCTCAAGCGACATCTACCTTTATATTAGTTTCTTTTGTATTTTTCTTCATTGTTTATTTTTTCGAATGTAGTAATCTTAGAACAATAAAATCTCAAATTCCACATATAGTTAAACTTTCAAATTTTCACGAGTTATTTATTATACTTTAAACTAGTGCCTGAAGCAGGATCTTTAGTAAAATTTATTTTCTCATTGACAAATTTGTATTTTCCTGTCAACTTTTTGTCAAATTTTTTAATTATTAACTAATTTTGCTGCCGTTATGAAACGAAATTGAAATGTAAAATAATCCTGCTTCAGTCACTTTATCAATGTGTTGTCTGTAAAATTTATAGCTTGATAACACATTTTTCAAGCAACAGTTCTTTATATAACTCACTTCTTGTGTGTTTTTATGCTGACTGAAGCAGTTTAAAATTGCTTTTTTTATTTTTTAAAAAGTTTTTTTTTTACAGTTTTTATTTATAGTTCATAGTTTAAAAAAAAAATCAAGGTTAAAAATGTTAGGTGTTTTGGTTTTTTTTATCATGGACCCACCTAAATGCAAAACATTCAAACTGCAGATAGTGATTTTATTATTTTTTGATCTTATGAATTGTATTGCTCCATAACGAAGGGTCGTTCATTAAATCTGAGATGATTAGGCTGACTTCGTTCTTTGAAATCTGTTATCAAAATCTCAGACTTTTGTTTTCAATTTCAAAAGAAGAGTAATGAAATTGATTTCAAAAGTGTAAATTTACTAAATTATTTTGTTTTGTTTGGATATTTTGATTGAAGAAAAGGCAATAAAATAAACAAAGTTAAATTTATGTGATACAGTAAATATGGTGGATTTAGTTATAAATTAGCTTAATTAGCTTTATAACAAAACCTTTTTTGTAGTGTAAACGCAAATTATAGTCTGTTCTGTGTAATGCCACTGCATATATAATCAAAATAATTGTTCATCGGTATTTTGCAAATAGTCATTATAATCAAAAGCGAAATGATATTTTGTGAAAATTTTAATGTGCCAGTTAATTTAATTATATTTTTTTTCTTTAAAGCATTACAAAGAGATATTGATCAAAATAAACCAAAACAAATAAGATGTTTACAATAATAAGTTAAAATAAACAAAATAACTGTTATAACAAATTTAAGATAAAAATATATTTTTTGAAACTTAATTCCATCAGATTTAGGGTTGATCTTAAATATATTTATAGCAAGTGTATGTCTTAATAAAAAAAAAACCAAATCAATAAGGAAGGAAATAATCTTTTGCTGGTGACGGCTCAACCTGCAATTGTTCAGGACATAACTAAATCAGATTTGGAATTTTACTTATAAAAATCTAATGTAATCTAAAAGATGAGCTTTAATAACAATTAATGAGGAACATATGTTAAAAATCAAATTTCTGATTTTATTCTTTCTGCTTGTTTGCAATTATAAACGAACGCATTTTTTACGGTTTACTTAAGTTTTGTGAACGGAACTTTAGTTTAGCAAACGGAACCTTAGCTAAGCTATAACTGTCTTTAATAATCATTTACTAAATATGAAGGAAAAAGAAATTTATAGAATGATTAAAGATAAAAGTCTAGTAAGACAATAATATCCGCATAAATACATGCCCATAAGAATATACTAATAAGTTATTAAAGTATTCAAATAAACAGCATTATTTCAAATCTACAATTATTTATTTTTTCAACAGTAGTATTGTGTTAATTTGCCCATTCTGCAATTAAAAATATAACGAATCGATTTCGTAAATTATTTGTATTTCTGGTGTAGACTTATAACCGTTATATATATATATATATATATATATATATATATATATATATATATATATATATATATATATATATATATATATATATATATATATATATATATATATATATATATATATATATATACATATATATATATATATATATATATATATATATATATATATATATGTATATATATATATATATATATATATATATATATATATATATATATATTATAAATATCATTCAATATAATTATATATATATATATATATATATATATATATATATATATATATATATATATATATATATATATATATATATATATATATATATATATATATATATTATAATTATCATTCAATATAATTAAGTTGTGTCAGTGTGTTTCCTTGTAAACTGTTACTGGATGAACTTTTAAAAAAAAAATCTATTTTTAACTATCAGAAAAATTAATAGTATTATTACAAAATAAATTAAAATTTTTTTAATGAAAAGTAAAAGATGACTTTCCATTAAAATACGGTGGCAGTTTGGGTAATAAAATATAATATCTAAAGAAAATCTTTTTAGTACATAAATTTAATTTATAAAAACTATTAGAAAGTTAATCAAATATAAAAAAAATGTTTTCTTTCTTTTTTTTAAAAAACTCTTATACATATAACGTTATCTATTGACCTCTATTTAAACAGCTTCTAAGCTGTTTAAATTAAAGTGCATATTTACATTTGTGAAATAAAAAAATCTAGACAGTTGTTAAAAAAAAAATGTAATTGCTGATGTCATTCATGATGGGGAAAAAATAGATCCATTAATTTTCTAATTTTTTAGTAAAATTTATTGCATTAATAAGATTTCAATTTCATTTTGCGTCGTAATTAATAAATAAAATGATAAATATATAAAAATATTTTATTATAATAAATATTATTTTTAAAAATTTAAATGATAATGACTTTTTTCATCTTTCCGAATTGGAAAGGTGAAAAAAGTCAATTCATTTAAAATTCATTCCAAGTTTCCGATTGAGCTTTTAAATTACTGGAAAAAAGAGCAATAATTTCAAAATATACTGAAAATAAAAGCAATCATTTAAAACCACTATCTAATCTTATCAGATAAATTTATTCAAGCTTCTACGTCATAAGTTTAAACATCCGGATTTATAAATTTGATTTAACGGAACCTCCATTGTTTATATTTTTTTAGTTCTTGCAACTTGCAACTTTCTATAGATTCTAAACTTCTTATTTTTTGTTTTACGATTTGTAATTTAAAATTATAGTTTATAATATACTCATTAAATTCTAAGTATTTCAGAAAATTTTAAGCAAAAAATAGAAATGTAAAGTTTCATGTACTAAATTGATAAGTTGTGTGTCACGTTTAAATTTATTATAAATCAAAAATATTTATCTTACAAATTTGCTACATTTTCGGAATTTCTATGTTTTTTACTATCTTTTATTATTTAAAAGCACTCAAAGCGTAAAGAACATAGATACATTTTAAAGTAAACTCTTGAAGAAAACATTTAAAAGTGGTCTCTTTTTCTTTTCAAGTTTTAACAATTTTTTGTTTTTGTACTTTTACCTTGTAAAAATATTTACAGTAGATAATTAAGAAAATAATAATAATAACAATAATAATGATAATAATAATAGTAATTTATTGATTATAATAAACTAAACGTTATAATATATATATATATATATATATATATATATATATATATATATATATATATATATATATATATATATATATATATATATATATATATATATATATATATATATATATATATATATATATATATATATATATATATATATCATTCATTGTGATGACTTTTTCAAAAAATTTACAAAAATTTTTTTTTACAAAAAAAAGTTACCGATTGTCATTTTCCTGACCGCTGTCTAAATGTAGCGAGTAAATTACCGCGGTGTGTATGGTAGACTTTACACATCCACTACAGATTACTCGCTAAAGTAGAAATTGTTTTACTTATAATCGATGTTATTTTTAAATGTTATAGAATTGAATAAAATGATAAATTTTCGATAGAGCTAATTACATTGAAACGGCCGCCGTTGTCAATGATATAAATGTTTAACCCGGATACAAAATTTATTTAACAGTTAAAACATAAATGTACCTTTTCACTCCATTTCTTATGTAAAATGAATGCGTTCACCAAGCCTATACGGCTCTTTGTGCAGCTAGTATTTCTAGAAGTAACTTTTTCTGAAAGGTACCTAAGGCTACAATATAAAAACTTCCAAAATAGTAATACTTATTTAAAAAGATAAAAAATATATATTCTTTAGATTATATTCATCGGTATATATTATTTTAATGAGTATGTTTTTCTCTCAAAAAGATTTATTGCTGGCAATCAACTCGCCATGTGCTCTACTTTTCCGCGATTCATTAGAAGATTGACGGCTTTAAAATGCTCTCACCGAAATGATGACTTTAAAATAAATGAAATAGTATACAATGCATCTATTCGAGCGACTGATGCTTGCCAACAACAATTCAAAAGTCGGTATTGGAACTGTTCCTTATCAACTCATAGCAAAATTGCACTTCAAGGTTAGTTTGACATTTTAAGTTTAAGTACTCCAAATTTTATCAGAAATGCAATAATAAAAATTATTAATTTTTTTGTTTATAATGTATTAACTTTGATATCTTTAGCTTATCCTGAAACAGCTTTTTTATTTGCTATTTATTCCGCTGGACTTGCACATTCAATGGCATTTGCTTGTTTACAAGGAATAATAGAAAACTGTAAGTGCCCGTTATCAACGAGAAAGGTCTATAAACTGACAGAAACAAAAACAATATTTGAAGATACCTGCATGGAAAATAATATAGAATATGGAATTGCAGAATCAAGAAAGGTACTTCAAAATGATAAAGAAAGCGATCCCAGATGGAAGATTGATGAACATAATAAAGAAGCTGGTAGATTGGTAAGGAAGTAATATATTACGTAAATTTGATTAATATGTCAAATATGTAGAGTGTTATTTTTTGAATTTTAGTTAAAATCTCTTTTCTATTTTTCGTTTCTTAAAATACCGTTGTTAAAATTAAAATCTCTTCTTTGAGCTTTTACCGATAGAATTTAGATTAGGAAAGATAAATTTAAAAAACGGTAATTAATGATATAATTTTGTTTTACAATTGTAAAAACTATTGAAGAACGAAAAGTTATTAGATGAAATTTGAAATCTGTTAACGAGTATAAACTTAGTTTAGTATTGTATTAAGGGTTTGGGGAGCAGGGTTTCTTCCTAGAAGCTATGTTTTTTGGCCTCACCTTAATTTTGCAAACCTCATTTATTTGATGAAAACATAAATTTTATAGTTTGCTTTATGCCTAAAAATTACGTATCCGTGTAACGTAACGCGCACAAAAAATTACGCATCCTAAACACACACAAAATACGACGTAGTTGTAAATCAAAAAACTACATTACTCACAACTTATAATTAAATAGCTTGTTTGTTTATGTAATTAGCGTACAGTTTAAAAATGAAAAAATATAATGTAACATTCAAAATAAAAAATATAAGAAATGTTTTAACATTTGTTACAAGTAAAAACATGTATATAGATTGTATATTCAATATATATATATGATAATTTGTATCTTCGATATATAATTGATAATAAGCATTATCTCTAAAATCATTGACACAAATTATAATTTTTATTTATCACTTTTGCTGTAAAAAAAAATCTTTAAATGCAGGCGTTAAAAGTTGTTTAATAATGTATAAAAATAAATATATTAAATAAATCATCACTTTTTAAAAAAATTGTTAAAAAATATATTTGTAAAAAATTGGTTCCTAAATAAAAATGATGTTCTTTATTTGAGTCAATCGTAGAGAAATCTAGAACTAGAAGATAGATAGAAGATAGAAGGTCTAGAAGATAGGTTAAAAGCAATCAGTAAGAATTTATTTTAGCGTGTTATAAAAACACTTCAAACAGTTTTTGATTTCCTGAATATTAACTTGTTTTGTCTTGACTTAGCTTAGCACTTAACTGTACATTAAAATATGACTTAACCTTCATTTTTTGAAAAGTGTTAGAATACAAATACGGGTATTTATTTTAGACCACATTTATCTGAGGAGAATATTGCATCTAATTTTATTATTATATATATATATATATATATATATATATATATATATATATATATATATATATATATATATATATATATATATATATATATATATATATATATATATATATATATATATTATTTAAGTAGACCATTTATTGCCTTACCTCTTCATAGTAATGCAGCTTCTGGTATTATTATTTAATGCAAATTTTTTTTAAAAAAGCGTTTAACAATATAATTAATTTTTCTTCACCTGTTTATTTGGAACAGAAAAACCGTGATGCGGGTTGTTTCTTAAACCGGAAACAATGCGCTTGCTTGTATTCCTTTTAGCGTTTTGATTCAAATCTTTTGATAAATCTAGTCGTGTTAAATTTTATTTTATCTTTAAAAAATGTTTTGATCAACAAAAAATAAATAAATAAATAAAGACTTAAACTATTTAGGAGCAGTAGCTTTTTTTTTGATGTTTCAGAATAAATTTTCAACATTCGTTCGTTCTTATGTTCATGTTTATGCTTTATGTCAAATATAGATGTTTTGAAAATAGAGATGCTTTGAAAATAGAGATGCTTTGAATATACAACTACTTTGAAAAAATAGATGTTCTAAAAGTATAGAAAATAAGTCTATATTGTTTTATTTTTTTTCTCTTTAAAAAAAAAAGAGATTTTTACACATTTTACTTTTTTCTTAATTTTTTATTTATTCATTTAAAGGCACTACGCGTTAAAGATAAGGACTTACCACTTAACTGTCGTTGTCACGGAGCTTCTGGTGCCTGTGCCGTAAGAAAATGCATTCAACAACTACCTTCTTTTAATACTATTAGCGTTCAAGTTATGGACAAATACTTGAACGCAATTTATGTTGGTTCAGATAATAATGGAATATCACCCCAACTCATACCTCAAGATGGAAAACAAAAAATAACTCCTGTTGACCTTGTCTACAATGTTGAAAGCCCAAATTTTTGCGAGTACGATCAAAAAACGGGGAGTTTAGGCACAAAAGGAAGAATCTGTAAAAAAGACAGTCTAGGTTCTGATAGCTGTGAAAAACTTTGCTGTAACAGAGGTTTTATCGAAAAAACAACAAATAGTACTGTGGCTTGTCGATGCAAGTTTACTTACTGCTGCCAGGTGACTTGTGATTCGTGTCAAAAATTAACAATAACACATTATTGTAAATAACTTTTTTTTTAAAATGACTAAATACGAAATTATATATGTTATATATAATGTTATATTAGAAATGTAATTTATTAAAGGAAATATAATTTATTAATTTTTTACCTCTATTTAAAACTTTGTTTAAATTTTACTAGAAGTTTTTATTTACTAATTTTTATAACTTTAATTTGGTAATTGATACTAAAACGGCGTTTAAAAAGTTCGAATTTCAACCTCCTAAATAATTTTTCTGTCGTAAAACTTACTTTACAAGTTTCTATGAAGAATGGTATGTGTTTAGTCCTTCCCTCTCGTCCACTACTTATAAAAATGTTTTTGTTATTATTTCCATTGCTATATTTTATTTAAACATAACTAAATAATTTTAGACAAGAATTGTCATTAATAACAAGTAAATCTGCAAAAAATGTAAGTCTACAAGTAAATCTAAAAAAAATTTTTTACGCCTTACTCTGGAAAAAACAAATAAGTCACTCCCTCCCCCCCCCCCCCCCTTTCTCCTTCTTTAAGATCTCTTTCGGACGGCCCTGGTCAACACATGGGATTTTAAATCAACACAAGGTATTGTATTACCTGTTTAATACATAAAAAAAATCCACCTCTGACGTTACACCCATTTAAATTTTGGTTTCTGTTTGTCTAAAAATAGTCATAAAAACAGACAAAAAAATATAAATAGGATATTTGAAGTTGTATATTTCAGAGGAAACCAGTTTTCTTTGAACCTACAGACTGTAGTACTTTTGTTTTTACTTGTAACTTGCAAGTTACTTCTTTATCTAACAGCCAATCAAAAGTATCTAAGCATCGATATTGTTAAAAAGCTTACTACATTAACAATAACTATTTATAATTTAGTATATTATACTATTTTTACTGTTAAAGTGTCGAACGAATTGTTAAAAACCGAACTTTTGTGCGATACGAGTTCAAATCCAGTCATTCCAAATAAGCACTTGAGTTGTACTTAGGTACGCATAACTATCCCTACGGGCATTTTATTTTTAAAAGTTACGTTCGAAATGTCTTTTAAACGTTTTTTAAACTTCTTTTAAACGTTCTTTATGGAAGCATGTTTAGAAAACGTTAAACGACATTTAAACTACATTAAGAACGTAACTTTTAAAAACAAATGCTCGCTGAGATGGGTCAATATCGGACGCTACTTTGGATTAGTTTTTATGACTATTTGTGGCTGTTCCTATGCTAAGCCAACAATATTTTTGTATATAAAAGCATTGTATAGCAAGATATAGCATGAGCATATAATAATAGATATAAATAATAATAAATAAATTAGGGTTGTTCGCCGAAAAACTAAACTTGCGAAAATTTCGCATCTTTATCTACCGTAATAGAATTGTTATTACGGAAGTTGCACATGCGAAAATGCACATTGCGTAACGCGCTATACGAAAATATAAATAAATAAAATTCCGTAATAAAGCATTGCGAAAGAAAACTTGCGAAACAAATCATTTCGTAAGAATACTTACGGAATAGTTCCTTACGGAAAAAGCATTCCGGAATGTGTAGTTACGAAAAAGACGCAAAAGATTTTATGTTACGATATATTTAAGATATTAACTGTTAACAGTTTAAATAATAAATAATAAAATTATAAAAAAATGTTGTCAAATGATTCTTTAAATGTTTATACAAATATACCTAATATATATATATATATATATATATATATATATATATATATATATATATATATATATATATATATATATATATATATATATATATATATATATATATATATATATATATACATACATTAACGGGATTTTACTGTATATATATGTATATATATATATATATAAATATATATATATTTATATATATATATATAATATATATATATATATATATATATACATTAACGGGATTTTACTGTATATATATATATGTATATATATATATATATATATATATATATACATTAACGGGATTTTACTGTATATATATATATGTATATATATATATATATATATATATATACATTAACGGGATTTTACTGTATATATATATATATATATATATATAATATATATATATATATACATTAACGGGATTTTACTGTATATATATATGTATATATATATATATATATATATATATATATATATATATATATATACATTAACGGGATTTTACTGTATATATATATGTATATATATATATATATCTATATATATATATATATATATATATATATATATATATATTAACGGGATTTTACTGTATATATATATGTATATATATATATATATATATATATATATATATATATATATATATATATACATATATATATATGTATACATATATATATATATTTATATATCTATATATATATATATATATATATATATATATATATATATCTATATATATCTATATATATATATATATATATATATATATATATATATATATATATATATATATATATATATATATATATATATATATAACAGATAAACAGTATGCATTTCTTTTTAAAAAGTATAAAGAGAATGTGTGATAAACAATTAAATACTTTATTATAAAGAACGAGAGATCTCTCTAAAGGTAAATGATATCAGAAAGAGTAAAAAGAGAAGAAATATAAGTGAAACAGCGGGATGTGAACCTGGGTCTACGCGGCCAAATGTCTTAACTGAATGAGCTAAACGTTCATTCAACTAAGTGAATAGTAATATTTATTTAATATATAATTAAGAAACTATATAAAACAGAATTTACAGAAAGAGATACGTATGCAAATACGATTCTATATATCAGGAAAATGAATAGTAATGTGAACCTTTAGATGCTTATAATTAATATCTGGACTCAAAAACTAGTTACTTTTAATGGAACACAATAGGCTGTAGGAGCCTCAGGGAAATTATATTCAGAAATGGTTATATTAGACTCAGAGTTAGCTAGAAATTATTACAAAGTATTTAGGACAGATATCTAGTACAAAAAGCAAAAGATTTAAAGCGAAATGATTTATATTATTTGAAAAAGTTGTTTTACGTACATTTCATCATAATTTAAGTAGAACTTAGTAAAGCAAGGGAAACGTGTTGAATTAAGCACAATGAACTCAATCTTAAAAGAATAACTAACAGAAGAGAGGTTGTCACTATTGTGAAGGCGACGAAAGATCTGTAATATAGAACATGGAGGTCAAAAAATGCTATCTTAAGTAAAAAGAGTTTGATGAACAAAAGTTACAATGGCTGCGGGATGCGAACCCGGATCTCTGCGGCGAATTATCACGTATCTAACTGATTGAACTATACAATCTTATACTCAAATTTATATCTTATTATAATTAAAAAACAGTATTTTCTATGATCTATACTTCGAAAAGCGTATTCAAACAGGACTGTACATACCTTTAAAATCTGCTAGAATTTTAGTAACGTGCACACTTTTAGAAATTATTAAAATAAAGGTATATTTTATCAGAAATATGCTTACGCTAAAGCATATTTTTGAGCTTCTTTTTACTATTTGCTTAAGCATATTCGAACCTGTTTCAAAAATTTCATATGCTTTAAAAAAAAAACATGTATATTCCTACCCATCATTCTTATTTTTAATATACGTAATGAGTTCAAAAAACATCGTTGTATATATTTATTATGGCACGTTTCGTAAGTTTATTTCCGTTAAGAATTCTTTCGTATGTTGTGATCCGAAATACTTTCGTTTCGAAAGAAATTTTATTTTTTATCAATATTTCTAAAAATAAAACCGTAAAAACTTAATAGTTATTATAGTGAAAATAAAAATTCATTATAAACATTTTGGGATTTAAAGATGTTAATTTTTACAATTAAAATCAGTCTGGCAAACAAATTTTCTTTATAGACTTCAAAACGTCGTTTGGCGAAAATGTTTGTTTCGCAAGTGCGACTTCCGAAATTACTACTTTCGCATGTTGCAAAATAGTTTTGTTTCGTATGTCAACTTGCGAAATGCTAAATTTCGGAAGTGGCTTTTGCGAAATGAACATCGGCGATTTTAAATGTTTTGTAACATTCGGTACGAAAAAATGTAATTCCGTGTTCTCCGAAAGAATGTTATTTTTCCGGAATTGCACGAAATCCTCCGGTTAACAACCCTAAAATAAATACTATTATATTAAAAAGCTCCTATATTACATTGTTTTTATATAACTAGTTAAATCACGACGTTAGAATTATCTTGTTCCATCTCCATATTTTAAAAGAAATTGAGTTATTGATAATGTTATGTACATGTTTTTTTACTATATTAAAACCTAAGTTATAAGTTAATAAGTTGCGAAAAAACATTAGTTAAAAAAAGATTTTTAAATGCCTCCTCCTGATATTTCTACTTTTTAAATCATTTTATCTCAAAACTCAAAGATGCGGAGATAGAACAGCGTGTTGATAAACTTTTTTAGACGTTAGATTGCCATTTAGACCGACGTTGAAACAGAAGGTTCTTTAACGTCGTGTCGTGTGTTAATAAATACATTATACTTATTAACACACAGTTTAAAACCACTGGTTATTTTGATTGGGTATTATCCGCAATTCCGTAATAACTATATAAATCGTAATATAAAATATCTTATTAAAAATAAAAGGTTCATTTTAATTTTAGCATTATTACTAATGCATTTTTGCGACCTTAAAAGCATTTTTCTTATTTTAAAAAAAGTCAAAAAGTAAGGTATAGGGTTGTCACCATTTAAAATTAATTATAAATCTAATATTGGCATGGGAAGATAGAAAAGATTATACTCATTTGAAAAATCTTTATGGTCTAATGAGTCTGCTTTCTTTATGTGTGCACAGACTCATTAGACCATTTTATGTTCTAATGGGGTCTGCCTACTTTAAGGGCGCATTGGATCAAATGGGCATTATATCCAACAAGCTTTGCAACCCAAAGAGTGAAGGATTAAAATTTGATCACGTGTGTTGAGTCCAGTGTACATGAAACTTTTCATTACTTAATCTAACTTTTAATATATTATTTTAAAAAATGAGAATTTGACTAACTGAAATTTTCTATAATTGT